TTGAAGATGAAGCGCAGCAAACGAATGTTAAAAAATGTTCGTTAACTTTGAGAGATTGCTTGAGGCAAACCAAATTTTTTCTGGTAAACCCAATAGAATGCTTTTAGAGAGCAAACTTTTCTCTTTAATTTCGTTTTTTTTTTTTTGGTTTTGTTGTACAATTTTATTGGCCAAGTTATTCTCCATCATATAACAAAAGATACTTACAGTGTTTTGGAAAGGAAATTTTTTTTCGTCGTACAAGATAACGTAACATATTGCATAATTACTATTTTTCACAAAACATGAGTGAATAAAGCGTTATTAACAAAAATCGTGTCCACTTGTTTTCAAGTAAAGAGTACACGTAACCCCGGTGCCAAAGGCCGAACTGATTAGATTTTATTTACCTTATGCCCTCGATAGTGAAATTTGTGATACAGTCTGAAAAATTGGTGGATCACTTTTTGTATGTACGTTTCCTCTTCAAAACGGTTTTCGCAACGTTTAAACTGTTATTGCGTATTTTCTCTTAGTTTCACTTTATTTTGGAAGAAAGAAAAGATTTCAGACATTTCACAAACATATTTTTATCCAATCTCTTGGCAATGACAAAAATTGCACAATACCACCGACATTAGCATTACCCAAAGCGTACCACAAGGAAGGTGCACTGTCGGATTTGCGCTTCAGTGCGTATGCACAAGCATGGAGAGGGGACCCTGTGGTTCATCACTCCCACAGTATTTTTTTACTCCAAACTCACTTCCCGATGTATGCGTGCATCCATGTGTGCGTATGTCGTGCTTAATAATGGGTATTACCGCCTCTCCGATTGATTACTTCTCTTTTTGTGCATATTAATGCACCTCCGTATTCAGAGTTGGGTAAATTTTATTTTGAATAACGAATAACGAATAACGATTTTATTCGACGAAAAATTATTCGTTAGTTACGAATAAAGCGTTATTCGTTAGTCACGAATAAAGCGTTATTCGTTAGTCACGAATAAAGCGTTATTCGTTATTCACGAATAAGTTTTTATTCGTTATTCGATATTCTGAATAACTCCACAGCGAATAAAAGTCAGGAGTAAGCGACACCGCTTCTTTCAATCTTTTTAAATCGACCATAAACACGGCCCACAACTTACACCAAAAGCATTAGCTACCTGTCGCTGGCGGCGGCCCTCCTGCAAAAGTACTACTAGTCGAGCGATTTTGTAATCAGAGGGGCAACGTTTAGGCATAATAAAGTACTAAAAAAAGAGAATAAGTGTGAAAATTTCATTAAAAAAAAGAAGAAAAAGATGTGAATAAGAATAAATAAAGGAGGAAACTGAAGGAAGAAATGGATTTATTAAAAATAAGCGAAAAAATCTGTGATGCGACTACTGCGTGACGAACTCTAATGAATCTGTTGATTATTTAAGTAACCCGCCCTTGACGACAGGGGGAGCTGCACACTTTGACGTTCGTTTTGCTTCACCACTTCCGTCCGCGCGCTTCACGGTAACCATGTAACCACGTGCGCCTATTATACTTATTATCTTATATTATGTATATCATTTAGTCATTAAATACTATTATTGTCTAACTGGAAGTGGAGTGATTATTGGTAAAACCTAACAGAATCTACCCACCCCCGCTTGCGGCTCGTCTTATCAAGCCGTGGCTCGCAAATCTCGGTAAAAAAAAGCAAATTAAGTTCAGTAAAAGGAAGAGTGAATCTATCGCAATAACTAAGGAAGGACAGGATATATACACCATCTGCACTCTGGATAGAAATGTGTTTACTAAATTTCTGAACTCTCTTTTTCCTTCCAAACTAAAATGATCCTAAGAAAAAACAGGCAATAACAGTTCGAACGCTGTGAAAACCATTCTGAAGAGGAAACGTACCGCAATAAAAGTGATCCACCAATTTTTCAGACCGTATCGCAAATTTCACTCTCGAGGGCATAAGGTAAAAAACATCTTATCAGTTCGGCCTTTGGCGCAGGGGTTACGTGTACTTTTAACTTGGAAAAAACGTGGACACTAGGAAGATTCCACGATTTTTGTTAAAATGGCATTCTGTTTTGTAATAAATGATAATTATGCAATATTTTACGTTATCTTGTATGACGAAAAAAACATTTCCACAAGTTGGCAACTAAAGATTTTTAAAGAGAAACCTTTCAGCTTTCCAAAACACTCGTTGCAATTTTCTATACGATCATGCGTTCGCAAATTACAGGCGCTCAAAGTGGAAAGTACCTTTTCTCATATGATCGAGAATAACTCGGCCAATAAAAATTGTACAACAAAGCTAAAAAAACGAAATTAAAGAAAAAAGTTTGCTCTCTAAAATTATTCCATTGGGTTTACCAGATGTTGTTTGGCCCAAGTATCATCTCAAAGTTGACAAACATTTTTTAACATTCGTTTGCTGCACTTCATCTTCAAAAAAGCACCATACTACACGAACATAATTTTTGAGTTCCTGATTCAAAAGCTAGAAACTTTAGGCTACGAAATGGTGGTTTACAATATTTTTTATAACTATTTTTCGCGGAGATATAATCATATGAAAATTACCATAATTTTCGGCAAATATTAGTGGCTGCTTAATTTTGATAAACAGTATACTTTGAAGTTATCACGTTAGGTGAATCACCCTGTATAACTTCAACAAATTTTAGACTGAACAAAAATTTTACCATAATTTACTGCGAAATCATCTTCCTTGAGATGACAATAATTACTGGAATACCCACTATAACTTCTCGGTAATACTACCCCAGGCAAAATATCTTCAATCAAACACATTAATATGTATAAAACTTTGTAAGCAGTATAATAAAGGATTGACGTATATTTAATTTTCTCAGTGAAACAAATAAAAATACTGGTTTACAGTAGACTTCCTTAAAGGAAAGGTGAATTTTGTAGATTTAGGAGATACCAGACGAATGCCTCAAATCTGAAATTCTCTATCAAATCCAGTTTTCTTTTCTAAATTGAGGGCTTCCAGAAATTTGTTCTTTTTCTAAAATGAAGTAGAATTAATCTCTAATGTAATTGTTATGTTGACAAGTTTTAGTCCAAACGTCTTTTGAGTTAAAAAATGAAGCTTAAGAAAAGTAGTCACTACCTGAAGCAGTGGCTATAGAGAATGGAAAATATCATTTTCATGAATATTCCAAATCCTACTTTAGTTGAAAAGAAAAAAATGTCCTACCCCCACTATATATAAAAACATTTGAGGTTAATAAACTTTGTGAAGAGAATGCACTAAAACGGTAATGGATATAAATATTTAAGGCAAAATATCTTTTACCTAAACAATGCGAAAATGAGAATAAAGAGCTTTTCAAGGATATTGAAACAAATTTTCTGCAAACAGTGGAGAAAACTGAATCTTTCAATTGCTATCTAATTTTCGCATTCTGCGTTTCGCAAGAAAAGGATATTAATCTTTGATGTTAATATTTTGATTATTTTTCTCGTATTCAGTGAAACAATATTTTACCTCCAATACGTGAATATACGTTACCTTCTAGACATTTAGTTATTCGATTAAATATTTTCTGCTAGGGGTAGTACCATGCGTTGCTGAGAAGATGGCAAGCGGAAAGAATGCAGCTCCAATTGGTTATATGCCCATAAGACCACCTTCTCTAATGCAATCGCAGAGATAGGGTACACATAGACTACCGCTCATAAGTTTAATCGCATCTGTTGGGATGCAGTATATCTGAAACTAACTATAGGAGAAGAATGAGTTGTGTTGTGTATCATATTACCTAAAATTGGGGGGTTATGTGATAATTATCAATACACATATTATTCGAAAATACCTTCAATGATAAAGATATCTGAAAATCTGAATCTGCTAATAAATGTTATGATCGTAATGAACATCAATAAAGGGAAGATATGAAGTAAGTTTGTTGTTCGTGTTTCCCTTCTAACCTAGTACATTCAAACGTGGTATGATACATACTAACTTGCATGGTAAAGAATTAAGAAGATTTTAATCATATATTAAACTGAGTATTGAAATAACAATCGAGTTGGTTACAGTATTATTGCATGCGTATGGAGTTCGGTTACAAATTCGTTTTACTACTGAAATCTATGGCTAAAAGACACAGTCACAATTGGAAATTGCAGTTTCAATAAGTGTATTATACGTTACGAAGATATCGAATCGAGCAATAGCACGACAAAGTCAAATCTCTGAATATTGTATGCGTGACTAAATCTTTGCGTTGTGCGATTAAACTTAGGAGCGGTAGTGTACTTTCATTATGGGCCGAAACAGTGACATACGCAATCGCATCATATAGCACCGCGTGACAGAGAAAGCGAATGGGACACATCGAGACCTAATGTTCATTCATCGAGCCGAGTCAATCAAAATAGAAATAACTAGCCGCGTACTAAGGTCAACTATTGGCTGGTACAGTAGACTCGCGATAACTGCCTACTAAATAAAAGCCCGTTAGGAACGCCCCATGTTCAAACGCATTACTTAAACACGCGTGTGCACCCCACTCTCTCTCTCTCTCTCTCGCCTCTGTAGCCAATAAGGCTGGAGTCGCATGAGCGTTACAGAGGACGTCCCTCGACCGAGCTGCGAGGAGATCCCGCATGCTAATGGCCCTCGATGATTATTCGTTCCTAGAGCTGTCCACCTCTTGAGTCTCAAATCCGGGTAATTATCGCGAGTCAACTCTAACTCTGTAAGTCATTAATTGTACTCATTTAAGATTGTCTCTTTGTCCATGTCCCACCTAAATGATCATCACCTGCCTTTGTTTATAATGACTGACTCTACTCGTTGAATGAGATATAATATACGAACTGCAAAGTAATGCCGCGGCATTTCAGAGTGTTAACCATTGGTCTGCAGTAGAGTCGCAGGCGGACTTACATAGAGCGAGCGGAGTGCCCCTATTGCCCTTGTGTCATCACTTTTGACATCTTCCCAGCAACGTATACTAGGAACGTTAAATATAAAAGTAATGTTGCTACCTTCTGCAAACAAGAAGAGTGTTATGCCTGGTGAAGTAATTGGTAACCTTCGAGCCCAACGCCTCCAGCATATACTTCACTTTCGCCCGTTCCTCCCCCTCGAATCCAGACAACGATACAATTTGTTTTGCACACGGAAGCTCCGTCAAGCTGAACGGCGTTGGAAAATGTAGCGCGTGCCAGGGCGGCAGTACCTGCTGTTTACTGACAACGTCGGACAGCCAGTGCGCGCTGACACAACGTTTTCCTTCGCGTAGCGCCTGCACCACGGTCGGATGTTTCTGCGTGATCGCGAGCACGTGGGTCGCCCGGGTGCAATACTGTGGCTCGACCTCGCCGCCGTGTCTTTCGATCACTTGTTTCCATATCAAAACATCGTTCGGACGTTGCACGTCGTATTCAACGATAACAAAGATACAGCCTAGTAAAAAGAGATCCGGTGGCACTGAAAGCACAAAGTAACGTAACGATACTGACGACAAAAAGGTATTCGGTGTTAGGGAATAACTCAAGAAGACGCGCGTAATAATTGTTATTTGGTTTATACGCGTGGAATAAACAATTTTAATAATTAGTAGGATTTGTCTTTACGTTTATAAATGAAAGTAGTTTAATTTGTACACTCCCGCTTATAAGTCACCGGACCACTTGGTTGTTCTGAAGAAAGAGAAAATTGAAACAGATATGCAATTTTTTGAAGTACTCTAATTAATTAGTTTTGTTATTATATAAGATGGCGAGGTTGAACATACGACGAAAACTTTTCAGAATTAGTTTAAAAAACTATAAAATGGTAATTTTAGTAGTTGTAAACTATAGAACACTATTTACGGTCGAACCAATCTAACACAATCGTATAATTATGATGGCATTAATCCCTACGAAATTAAAAATACACACGGACAAGTATTGAAGATCTTATAAAAAGAGTATAGGTTGATTTAAGTGGAATTAGTTAAACAAATTTTTTTAAATTCACTACTTAACTGTTACGATTTATTGGAATAAATAATACTGAGCAAAATAAAGTCATTAATTGTACTCATTTAAGATTGTCAATATGCAGGATTAATAAGAACTTGTTTATTACATAATTTAGGTAAGTTCGTAACCTTGATTCATTCTTATGCAGTGTCTAATAACAGAAGCATCCGGTCACTTATAAACGGAAGTGCATATTGAATTGAAACTTGTTCACAGTACAATTTTATCGAGAATATGGATGTCAAATAGTTTAAGATGATTAAAGTTAGACAATCGATCAGAATCAAATTAGGCTCCTTGTTGTTCGTGCATGTAAACTTTATAAAGTAACATAAATATGCAATTAAATGTTATAAAATTTCGTGCAATATATCGTACATCATATTAAATCGCACAACAAAGAATAATAGCATAAAACAATTGAATATCAACTGAGATTTAAATATTATGAAAAGAATCAATGATTTCATTTGTAAAAACCTAAAGAAGTAAAAAAAGGAGATGGTGGAGTATTTTCTCAAAAATCTCGAAATATTTCATTTTTAATTGCGAGGGCTGACGCCGTTTTTTAGGTCAAATACGAATCTCCTTCATGGCGGTTTCAGGCCATGAGGGGCCGTATCATAAATTAGTAAATCAAACATATTCAGAGTAAGTGAGAGTACTAGATGTACCCATCAGACGTTTCTCGACACTAGAAAACAATGTCAAATGACAAGCAGTGAAGATCATAAGACAGTTTAAAAGAGCAACATGCTAAGGAAACCAAGTATAATTTAACAGAGACGTATACATATCGTACCCTTGCTACAAAAGTGACACAACATGAAAAACGTGCTTTCCAAGGAATCGCTATGAGTAAGTTGCAGAAACACTGTACAACAAATCATGAACAGTGTATCTTTTAGCTGACTGTATGTCACTCTTAGCGTTCGGAGTGAATTTGTGATTTGTGACAATACTTTATATTTGTTGGGAAACTAAGATTTTTTTTTATAGATTTTGTTTTATAGCAAGGCTACGATATATTTTAGTAATAGTCAATTTACTTAAAACATATTATACATTATACAAAGTTAAGTAAATAATAGGAATGTATGTAAAAATGACGGAATATAGCCTTCACAATTTTTGAAAAATATAAAACATACAAAATTACTTCACCAAACGTGAGTGAAATATAATTTCTTATTACTTCATACATAGAGTAGTACACGTAACTGGAACCACTTCGATTACTGCGTAAATAATAATTTTAGTAAAAAATATTTCAGATAAAAGTTGTATAGTTTCAAGGGCGGCATAATTTGATGTAATTAGTTTTTTGTATGTAAATGCCTAGAGGATATATGAAGGTCAAGTTTTTTTTTTAAATGGAATTGTATATTTTTTATTACATCAGTCGACCCAACTCATACTTCTGCATACAAAAGTGTTAACCTATTCATATAAAAAAACCAGTAGTTTAGCAGATATTTTAACTTCAATTATTCATAATGACGTAACTAGAACCACTGCAATTACTCCCAAAGTATTAACTTGAGCGAAAATTTCTAGAGTTGAAATCTGCATACAGTGGACTCTAACTACATTGCCACTAACCATATTGCCTCGCGAGGCACTTCCCCGTCACACGTACTTTCGAGCACACAAATTCGCTGTCCCACCACGTTGCGTACGTTGGCGCACCAGCAGGACCCAGCTTTTGCGCGGGCGCTGAGGCCGAGGCTATGACGATACTTAGCATGCAAACGGCTCTGAACTCATTGCGATTTTATTCCCCTACAGCCCCAACCATGGCAATATAGTTAGAATCAACTGTAGTTCGAACGGGACCACATAGTGAATTATTCGATTTATTTCTATCACTTACATTTCTTGAAATTTTAAGATAATTTTCAATTTTTTAAATGAAAGTCTGATTTGTTTTTCATAACGAAAGTTATGGATACGAGTAAAACAAATTCAGCGATATGCATTACGATGGTCATTAGATAATTTTTAAAAAAATTCTACCAACTGACGTACCGAAAACTGATTCTGCAGATGTTTGACTGTTAGGGAATCTTGATAATAACATAAACAAAAAATTACTGTTCTGCAAATGTATTTTGTTCTATATGATGATTTTACACGTGTTGAAGTTATGTTCAAAGTATTGTCCTTGGACGTCAATACATTTTCGGATTCTTTGTTCGAAACTATTTTGAACATTATCAAGAATACATAGCTGCATTGTTGCATTATTGTATTGTATTATTTTCGGTGGACCATCGTAATGCATATCGCTTAATATGTTTTACTGTTATTCATAACTTTCGTTATAAAAAACAAAAGACGACTTCCATTTAAAAAACTGAAAATGACCTTAAGATTTCGAAAAATGTAAGTGATAGAAATAAATCGAATAATTTAATATCTGGTCCCGTTCGAACCATGCAGATTTCAACTCTGACAATTTTCGCTCAAGTTAATACTTTCAGAATTATCGCAGTTCTAGTTACGTCATTTCGGATAATTGAAGTTAAAATATCTCCTACACTACTGTCTTTATTATATGAATAGGTCAACACTTTGGTATGCAGAATTATGAGTTGGATCGATTGACGTAATAAAAAATATACGATTCCATTTAATAAAATAAACTTAACCTTCATATGTCCTCTACGCATTTACTTACAACACTTGTTATCAGAAAATCTTGGTAACCGATTGGTAACTCAATTTTTGTACGAAAATGATTAAGTTTTTATACTGCATTAGCGAATGACATTGATATGTGACAGTACTCTATAACTCCTGGAATTCCTGCAGTTGAATGTGTAGAATGATTCTTATAGTTTAAAATGATTTAATATTCGAGATTTTCCAGAAATTACTATACACCAGTCTTTCTCGTAAAGCGCAAAAGCTGTGATGTTTATACATTTGATTAGAGAGATGTGATACCGATTAAGATTGTGTCGAGTAATGCGACGAAACTTATAAATATTTTCGAAAGAAACAACCAGCTTGAACTCTGTGGTTACAACGTGAAACGGGAAGCAAATTTTTGTATCATTTCTTCCGAACGAAAGTATGTTTAATAGATGAATAAGATTATTCCGATGAAAGTATGCCCAAATACAGCGTCCATTAGAACATTTTATGTTCAAAATGCTTTCAGATAATATTTGCATGTGAGGTTAAAATATGAAACACCTATGCATATTCGTATTAGAAATTTTATCAAATTTTAGAAAAAATTATTGTAGTTTTAGAAGGTGTCGTATATCACCACTTTAAGGTGGCTCACACAAATTTTTAATAATTATAAATTTAGTTGAAAATTTAACGGAACATGCTTACAAGCTTCAACTTTCGATTGCTACCAACAAATCGCAAGGTCAACGTTAAAATTATTGAAAAAGAAACGTTATAAAAATTTTTTCTTAACACGAGCCTTACGGAACTGTAGTTAATACCGAGAAGTTAATCACTTCTTATTTAGTTACAAAATATGACATTTTCGTAAAAAAATTAGGTGGTTATAGATTCTTTTACGGAGATTATGATGCCACGGGAGAAAAGATATGTTAACGATCAAATAAGACTGAAAATTACGTGCAAAGTATGCAGGTTTTTAGGTTTGAATGCGTTTGGCAATATCTTCTACGTATGTCTGCTATGAGCGTCAACGTCACTTGTTTTCCCTTGATTTGTTCGACGAACTTTCCAATTTTGTCTTAAAAATTAATCAAAAATTAAATTTTTTTATAAGCAAAAAATTTTGTTTTTTCCACTTATTTGCAAATTTTGTTACCATTTCAGTAGTTTGAAGTGGTTTAAAATATTAATCATTCAAATTAAATTGGTAAAATTGATAAAAAGTATAAGGCGCCATATGGAGCCCCAGCTAGATACGACACCAAACGCGTGAGCTACCTTAACTCCAAGGTCTTTCTAGGCGGCCATAGCACTGACCGCGTCCGTGACTGACTGGCTAACACGCGCCGACAGTAGTCTGATTCGACATTGCGTCAAATGTTTTTCACTCGTATTTTCAACGCTCGGTAACTCGATATGAAGCCCCCAACGTAATTGTGTCTTATTTTGGTATGTAGAATCACCCTTTAAAGTTCTCTAACGCCCAATAGTCGAATACCTTGAATACTATAAAATAATGACTCTATAGAATGATGGAAATATAATAATCAACCTACATACAATTCTTCTGAAATTGCGAATAAAAAGTACCTACGTAATAATGGTAGTAATATTTATTTCCTATATAAATATATTGCTTGCCACATAAACATATCTTCGGAAGACTGATCAAAATTATAGGAAAAAATTCCGACCATGCAGACATCGACTCGGCTGTTTGGACTCATTTTCACCAGAAAAAATTTTACCAATGCACTTCAAATATTAAGTGTAAATTATGTGCACGTATAATAAGAACTCAAGAAGCCTTAATTGAGGGGGTTTTTAAAAATGAAAAAAATAAAATAAAAAAGCATACGTTTTAGATTTGGATTGTGTCCGTAGAACTGAGCTTTTGGCTGAGTCATCGCGGGAGCGTACTGCATCTTTATCGGAGCCCCGGGTGGTGCTCCATTCGTAATGTTGCCAACAGGCCTCCGCTGGTAAGCTGCAAGAAGCTGAGGATCTTGAGACGGTGGCGGTGGTGGTCTGTGTTGGGCGGTCATTAATCGCAGCTGACCAGCTGCACTACCTTCGGTTGCGCTACCTTGCAATCTGTTCGTTAGCATGTTTGCCAAAGCAGTCTTTGTTTTAGCATTGACAACCAATTGTTGGTCAGGTGGTATTTGAACGTTATTGGATAAAGATGTAAGAGGTGGATCCTGTTGTGTTCCCTGTGGCTGTTGTTGTTGCTGCTGCTGCTGCTGTTGCTGCTGCTGTTGCTGCTGTTGTTGCTGCTGTTGCAAGTGTTGTAACTGCTGTAATCTCACCATTTGCTGCTTCTGCATGTGTAATTGTGCTATATGTTGCGGTGTCAGGGGCTGTCCCTGTTGGAACGTTTGACCAGGTTGAGCAGTTTGCGGACCCTGCACGGTTTGTCCGGTTTGCACGATCACTTGATTAGCAGAATTGATAGGCGTTAAAGCTGGCGGTTGAACGCCGGGATGTACTGGCTTTTGACCAGGTGTTTGGGCTATTTGTGGTCCTATCATTTGCGGTCGTGGCTGCTGAACCCACTGCAAGCCACCTGGTTGCACTGGTTTCCCGGGACTCCTAATAACAGCGATATGGGCTCCTTGTTGAGCTTGACGATTTTGCATTTGCCTCTGCAGTATGAAATTTTTCTGCTTTTGTATCTTTTGAATAAATTGGGCCCTCTGTTGTGGATCCATCTGCTGTAATTGCTGATGCGTCTGAGCATCCAATTGAATAAGTTGTCTTGGCGGCTGTGGTGGTTGTTGAGCCCACTGTCCACTCGGTCTCTGAGGACCAATTTGTTGCTGCTGTTGTCTTTGTAATTGTAAGTGGTACTGTTGTTGTTGCCATTGTGTATCTCTTTGTACAATAAAACTTTGCTGATTCGGTCCCATTAACTGTTGACTTTGAGGCTGTTGTTGTAATTGACCGTCCCTTATGACGAATTGCTGCGAACTTTGTGGGGCAGATTGTTGTAACTGCTGTGAAATTTGCTGAATTTTTTGTTGCTGCTGTTGTTGTTGCTGTAATAATATAATTTGTCGCTGTTCAGAAGCAAGTTGCTGTTGTGCAACTTGCTGCTGATTCAACTGATGCTGTGCTCCTATTTGTTGCTGTGTAGGAAGCTGCTGCTGCTGTTGAAGAACTATCTGTTGCTGCTGTTGTGGTGTTAATTGCACTTGTTGTTGTTGAACCAGCTGCTGTTGTGTACCGATTTGTTGTTGTTGTTGTTGTTGTTGTTGTTGTGATATGTGTTGTTGCTGATTTAGTTGTTGTTGCGAAAGAATCTGCTGTTGATTCAATTGTTTTTGTTGTGGTGGTAGCAACTGTTGAGGAGAAGACAACTGATGTTGTGGTAATTGTGAATTTATTTGTTGTTGCTGTTGTGGCAATATTGGTTGTTGTGCCCCTATTAACTGTTGCTGTGATGATAATTGTGGAGATTGTTGCGGATTCAAAATTTGTTGCTGAGTGTATGTCTGTTGTTGCAATTGTTGATGTTGCGTAAGTTGCGACATTTGTTGCTGTTGTAATATTGTATGCTGCATATTCATTTGTTGTTGTTGTTGTGGAGATACTTCTGGTTGTTGCATTTGTGGCACAGTTTTCATTTGAGAAACATTATTTTGTTGAGAAGATTGTGGTAACCAGCCAGGTTGAGTAACGTTCTCATCAGATACAGAAGTTATGATTGTAGAAACATTGGACAAATTTGTGGTAGGAATTGGACGTGGAAGATGTGGCTGTTGCGCATTAACAGTATTTTGTCCATTTGTTGCATAAGGAATTGTTGTTGCAGTTACATTTGCAGTATTGATACTATGCAATGTATTAGAGGGTACAGGTGGACTTGGTTGATTCCAAGGCATACGTTGTTTAAGTTGCTCCAGCATCACTTTAGTTCGGTCTTGTTCTTCTTGTGTAATATTATTTTCAGTGTCTTCATCCATAAAGCCAGTAATCATAGCTGTGGAACTATTTGGATATATTAAAAGTCTAGGGTGAAATTCCACTTCACTTAAAATAGTTCCTTTTCTACAACATTCTGTCACCCAATCTGGCGTTACAATTTGAATAGGATGTCTTGTAGCTGTTTCATATTTGAGACCAACAGCCTTTCCAGTAATTAAGTGAGTACAATACTGGTCTAAACGTAATTGACATGTACCACCTTGTAATGCGATCATCGCCCATAGACTTTTGCTATCTGCACGGCTTACCTGAGACACGCATGCTCGTATATTTGAAAATAATTGTGTATCTTCAGGTAAAAAGTAATGTGGCCTATATTAATGATACTGTTAAGGAAATTAATTACTTTAAACTATTAAATAATTTGAAAATTATTAATTGCATTATTTTTATGATTAATAAACTAAAAATTACTATAGTAGGATACGGTAGAAGTTTGTTACATTTAACAGAATATAAAATCCAATTCTGTGTAACTGCTGGTATTTCATAAATATCCTTTGCAGCAGATATATCATTCTCCAATGCATCATATCCTGCTATTAAATGTGTAACAAAATCACTAAAATAATTTGATCTTTCTGCACCACCTTCTTGTAGTAAATTTAAAATCTGCAATAAGTTGAATAATGCTTCTTTCAATAATAGGTTTTTCTGTAGCATTTAGAGTTATGCATTAACATAAACACTACAACAATTTTACTTTCACAAATTTCTATCTATAAATGCAGTAATATGAATACTATGCCTCTTTTTATTTCATTTCTTTACATAAACAATAAATTATACAAATATGTGTTTTTAAAATTCTCATATCATGTTTATAGTATTGCAGTCTGTTAAAAGTAACACTACTCTATAACCTCTATCACACGTATTCTGACTAATCCAATATAACCGTGGGTATATAACAATTTATTACAGTCACAGTTCATCGATATCAATATCGCAAAATTAATGATATTACACTAAAGGAAATGGAAAAACGCGGGAAACGGTGAAATGACATACCTTGGGATCACCTTCGCCGCTGACGTAGTATTTAACGTCGGCGAACAGGGCACCATCGAGTTTTAATTCCTCGAGGCCGGCCCTTATATCGCCCATCCTTACCAAATTGTAAGCAAAATCACGTTTTCCACATCACAATAAAAGTTGAAGAAACTGAAAGCACTTCAAAACTATTTGATAACACAACTCAGCCGCGACGCTTTTGTTATTATTGTGATCGTAAGGTTATGTAGCTACTTCGGACTCCGAAGTTCGGAGTCGAACGACTGCACTCCATGTTCGATATATATCGACGCGAGCGCGGATTTCGAGTGCGCTAAATTTGAACATGGAAAATGTTTAAATGTAATGTCCAATGCATTAATGCACTCGAGCAATAACATGTAGTCGTTTCTTTGTTCTATTTAAATTACTAAAGCTAAAATTATGTCTTATTAAATCTACATTATATAAAACAAATAAGCTGTATGCTTTGAAAATTAAGTTTCTTTAATGAAAATTTTTCTAGGGTTCTTCCTGGCATTCCTTTTTTAAAAATAAAGTGTTTACTGCGATTTTATTTTGAAATGCATAAAGAATTATAAATGATGTCTTGTGAATATATAAACTATATATATTTAATGCAATTAATTGAATCTAGAACAGAAACTCTTCAAATATTTATTGAAGGTTAGTCAGGGATTCGTTTCTTGAAAACTAGCACGAAACTTTGTAATTATTACTAATTTGTTTACACCGACGGGTCATGATCAATCCACACTATTATTCATCCGCTCTCCGTTCGCTCACGTTCCGTTCTCGATTCGATTAAATATTATTCTGTTGTTTAGATTAGACGTATTCACATTATGGGTAACGTTTAAATTTCGGTTCATTCGCATCGTAGCAACGATCCTTGAGAACAATATTTTACTGGAGCGAGATCGAACTTTTCCGGAACTGAACCGGTTGTGAATGCGTTACACGATTCTACTAGTCACTCGTCACTCCACGATTTTTCGAATATCAAGTAGCGGTGAAGTGAATACGGCCAATGAAAAGTGTTTAAATTTCGAAAAATTTTCTCTTTTATGTAGTGCTTTACGATGTTACACTTTGTAGCTTAGCAAAGACGTATTATTGTTATTAGATATAATTAACACATAAGTGCGAATCATAATTTTATTGTAACTTATTTTATGTCGTGGTCAATATTTGCTTATAACTGATAAATTTATATTTTTACATACAAATCTCCAAACCCAAGTTTATTCTATCTTCTCAAATAAATATTTTACTGATTAAGTCACTGTCAATATAACCGTCAGAAAAAACATACTACTACTACTATACTTTCATTTTCAGAACTTTATATATGTAAGTAGCATTTTGAAGCAAAAGTAGTGGAATATCACATATAGATTAAGAAATGTGGTGAAATGCATAGAAACAAATTTTACCCCTTTTCACCTCCTCTAGATGGAATTCAAGAAATCCTGAAATTACCTTCCAGGTATTTGCATAAGTAGTATTTTAAAGTAAAATGCAGTGGGATATTTCATCGGGACTAAGAGATATTAAATATTGCCACAATTTTTTTCATTTATTCCTTCTTTACCCCTCTTAGGGGTTAGATTTCGAAAAATCCATTCTTAATGGATGCCTACGTTCTAAGGGGAAGCTATCCCTAAAATTTCATGTTGCTAGATTCAGCGGTTTGGACTGTGCGTTGATGAGTCAATCAGGACTTCTCCTTTTATAAGTATACAGTGGGGTATGATACAACGAACTAATGCTACAGTCAACAATTTTTAGTATTACAATCGGAATGCTAGAACGAACGAATATGTTATAACGAACGCGGGAAAATACGATTGACCATTCTGCCGATTGTCCTAGTACACAGATAGAGTTTGGTATTCATTAAAATATTTTAATATTTAAAAATGTATTTATTTACATTGAGCATACAGTTAATTTTTCCCTCCGAGAAATAGCTTCGCGAAAACTGGTACTTCTTCTTGAAATTCTTTTTTCAATTTTGGATAATATAATTTCGAATGTACCCGAACTCACTTGAAAATATTTCAAGAATTTGTCGTCATCATCCACTAAGTGGAAATATAATGTGAAATATTCCCCATCAGCTTTTCTCATCATCAAACTGGGATGAATCAACATTAACCTATTGTTTTCTCTTTTTTGACACTTTTCACTTTCTTTATCTTCTTCGTCCAATGCGACAGCAATTGTAGCCAATTCATTGTCCGAAAATACTGCCATTGTATGGAATAAACTGATTACGAACTTGATAGTAGGGAGGTGGAAAATAAACTCAGGGGTGTGATCGTGAGCGGCCGATAGTGTGGATACTTGGATACTCATTGTCAGTGATGAGTGATGTGATTGAGCAGAGAGCGGATGGATAGCAAAAAGGAGATATAATGAGAGACGACACTCCGGACTTAGAAAGAGATGAAACTACACAGCCAATTTAAACGGCCATTCGGCAATAATCGGCAATCTTCGGTAAAGTTTGAATATTCAAACACGATTTATTTTGTATTACTTCTAAATCTATTCATAACCTATTTTCAAATATATTTTCTGTTTGTGGAATTTTGTGTTTAATGTTGTTACTTATTATTTAATGTTAAAAATTTTTTGTAACTTTCCTTTAACAAATCGGAGTTAGGTCGGAAATGTGTAGATCTTACTACATACAACATATGTCAGGTGATAGAAACAACGTAATACTTGAAAAGATTGTTTACTTTATTGTATACTCTTCTTCATTCGCGGAGTAGGTACATATCAGCGTCTAAAATGCTTTTCGCTGTATAATCCATCGAAACTGTAATGCATTTTTTATTCACTTCTGTTTCTTCCTTTCATTCGTACTAGCATGTTTTCTCTCTCTCTCTCTCTCTCTCTCTCTCTCTCTCTCTCGCGCGCTCTCACTGACACCCTCTGCTTTTCCCTATTTCTTTTTCTCTCTTTCACGCACAACCCACTATAACATATTATAACCATACATTTTCTATTTTCTTTAGTCATTTCTTGAATTAACACTCACTCTCTTCCTCTCGCTCATAGATAAATAAATTATACTCTAGTATGTACAAGATCTTCATAGATTTCCTCTCTTACTTAGTAGTCATTTGTCACTTAACAGATTTATTCATTTTGTAAAGACTCTAGAAATATTGAGCTTGGTCTGGTCAATATACGTCATATGTATATTCCCATTAACATTTGTCGATTTGTGACATTTTTTCCCAAAATTATGTTATTCATTACTTCGTAGTATCGAATATCCTTCTGTACGATTGTGATGCTTGTTTTTTTTTCTCGGAAATTTAAACGGCTGGCATGGGAAAGGAAAATTAAAAATTCCGTAAATTGTAGATCTCAGGACGACTTGTGAAGTTCTGAAATTGAAATTCTTCACTTATAAGCATGTATGTATGTATGTGTGCATATACCTGATTTTAAGAAGAGATTTATAATTATTTCAATCACGTTACAGAAAATGTTAAGGGATGATGGGAAACATAGACCGGCGTATTGCTCTATAAATAAAAGAAATTATGTAATTATAAATTCATTTCTAGTTGCTGTGACAGATAACTATAAAAGAATCATTGATACCTGGTAACTGAATATATTTCTCATGAATGTCTGGTATGGAATGAAAGCTTAATTTTATAATTTAGTTTAATGTCCGTCCTGTGTACACAATTACATATTTAAATAGGTGCTTATGTTTTAATTTTACACATCCCAAGTATAATATCCTCTCAGGCACCTGTGATTATTTACAATTCAAGGGCTGAATAATTGAACTGACATGTAAATTCGAAAACAGTTGATCAGAGAATAGAAGTCTCACACTTAAACATTTTGAAATTATCAAATTCAATAAACAAGTATGTTGATATCGAAGTAAAAGAATTCAAAAGTACGTCCGTATTGAAACTATAGTTATTAACTTCCATTTAACGATAGGTTTATTAAAATGAATGATAAGTAAACAGACTGCAAATATCAATAAAATGTGATGAATTTTAGTTAATTTGATCTATCTCTAAACAATATTTTCCAATTAAGAGGATAACTATACTTAGCCACTTATTGTGCTTATTCGATGATAAAATAACTTAATCGTTTGTTCCAGTAAAAATTGTAAATCTACTATTTGCGCGTGGACAGGAGACATTTTGTTTGGAACATAGAAAATCGGTAGCGACAAGGAAGAAAATGGAGCAAAAATATTTGTAATGTGGAAACGTAACTGCAAAATTTTTAACAGTAACATAATTACATTAGTTATCCTGTTTTTGTTGCTTTTATATTATTTTTATGCTCTCGAGAAAAATTATTTTACGGAAACCGAATTCGAACATTCATTACATTTTATGCCATGTATTCTAAATATTAGAAATTTGAGACGGTACGAAAAATTGTAGAATCATATCTTACTGAAGAAATTGTAACTGAAGGTCTTTTTTAATGTTGTGGAAAAATAATTTAAACAATACATATAATATAAAATATTAGTAATTTGTACCATACATGCGATATCTCATGAGGTAACATTATTCTTATAAGGTGCCTTATAACCCGTAATACCATAAATAAGATACGATTTATCATTCAGAAATAAGTTGGACACGTAGACTGACATTGTGGGTTGTTGAACATGGATTGACAATAAAAAATTACTGTACAGAGTAAAACGTCCTGCTTTTTCACATATATCTTAAAGTTTTCTATCGATGTTGCCGTCTAGCAATTTACGTAGTAATTAATTTGTATATTGCATTACCATAAAACACTTAATACTCTTCCATCAGAGCAAACGCAAGATAATGAAAATGAATACATAAGTTATTAAAAAATATGACACAATTGCATATGCAGGGAAAGAACATTGTTAATCGAAAGAATTTAAAGGCTTTTCAAATAAACCCGCATATTGTTATTAACAAAAAGTTATGATTGTACTGCGGAATCTTTGATAAAGAAGAAAACATAAGTTGTACTGAAAATAGTGCAATCGATTTAATCTGATTCCTGTTTTGAACCATGTGTACCTAGTTTACTTCATTAGAGTTTTTGGGAAAACTGTTCTGTTTCATCGATTTTAGTTTGTAGACATTAATTTTTCGAGTTTTTCAACTAAGTAAAAATTGCTGCTTTTTACTATACTTCGTATGTGTAGACTGATTTTATATCCACGTTTGAGAGTTATCTTTTAAGTAAAACTATTTAACATTTTGTATATTTGGAAAACTAATAACACTTCAACAATCAACAAGGTTAGCGTTAATCATAAAGAAATGGTGGAGACGTTAATTTAAAGTACAGCATCTAATGCGTCTGATTTATGATTTGTGGTAGTGTAATATTCACAAGTAGAAAACGTAAAATATTTGTCTTGTAGACTGACCAAGATTCATTTAACTATAATTATTAGGTGAAATTTATGTTATTTTAAACGAATGTACAGGAGACTTTATTTGACCTTATTTCTGAATGAAATACCGTTTTTAGTTATGTCAGGTATGAGACACGATGTAGAGTCGCGAGGTCGTTAGGGAACTTTCAGTTTTACTAAACTAATTTCTGGGAACTGTTGACCCATTTGACATCCGGTCCTTCAAAAGGATAGTTAATACGAAGTCATTAACAGAATTCAAGGGAAAAATCGCAAACCAACGATAGACAATCCATTCCGAAAACAACACAATGAATCTAGAGATTACTGATAAGATGTTGTGTAACATTTAGAAATATTTTGTATTTTCGTTCGTCGTCGACGATATCTGAAAGGATTTGTAATTTATTACTTTTATTAAAGTCTTTATAATAGATATGAGTATCTAAATATAAGTTTAAATTACTATAATCTTAAAAATTCGAGAAAAAAGAAATTATATCGTTACTTACTAGATACATTGCCAGTAATGTATGTATGTATAATGTACTCTACTTTAATTTTAAAAATTATACGAGTGACTTCCGAAATGAAAAAGAAAATGTCTAGCAATAAGTAAAGAACTGCAATTATCACTGCGATTGTAATTGTGTAAACTGAAAACAATATACGAAACCCTTGTAAAAGATAACGAATAAACCGAAGAATGAATGAAAAAGATGAATGAAATAAGTTGAATTGTCGGCAGTCAAAGGCTCGCCAGAACAGACTCTCAAGAAAAGAACAAGCAGCGGATTAGTACACACACACACAGAGAGGGTGCGAAGAAAAATGTAAATTACATTATACGATCTTATAGGCGTACATCTCATACTCCACATAGATGGCCAGTACCATAGAAACGGGAACGATCTCACCGACTAGGCAAGATTACATCATAGTCTCGCTACAACTGGTCAAGCTATCGAAGTCTAATTGTAAGTAAGGGCAATCGTTATTGCAAAAAGTTGCACTGCCGGCGGTGGTCGCCGGCCTGTTACACCAGCCCTTCGGATGCAACGTATTAGTGAGGTAACACAGTACATCTAGGATCTCGTTAATGCGCTAGGAACCCGGGCTTGTGTTTTCGCTACTCCTTCGCCTTGCCTCGAGCTCCTCAGCGAGCATCGCCACCTCCCAATTATTGTGCCCCTCCCGATGTGATTCCTCGTCCTCGTCGTCCTCGTCGTTCCCGCTATCGCTTCTTCCCGCGGCCCTGTCGTCAAACTCGTCCTCAGATCTACTGCTATCGCTGTTCGACTCCAAGTCGATCGCCACGTCGTCCTTCCACAATGTCTGCGGAACGATCGAAGTAGGCAGCTCCTGAAGCTCCAGAGTCTCCTCCTCGGAATGCTCCTCCCAGGACCTTCTGTTCTGTGAGGTGGACTCCATGGACGGGGAGGAACGCGTGTAATGGGAACGAGCGGTAAGAACCGTGTCTACCGAGCCATCCCTCATGAAAGGATGATCCTCACGGTCGTCGTCCAAATCCTCTTCCAGGGAGGCGTCGTGCTCGGTGCTGTCCCCCAGGGAGTCTTCCGTGTTTCGCGATTCGGTTTGTTCTAGCTCTTGTATTCTCGCCTGGAGCTGAGATATTATCTCGTCTCGTTTGCGAATTTCTAGCTCCAATGACGTGAACTGCCGCTCGAATTTCGTCTGAATGTCCTCCTGAAATTTTTGTTGGTACAAATTGGTTAATATTCTATGGTGACAAATATTCATGTAGGTATGTTTTACGATGAAACGGTCATTCGAAAGAATTGTTCGTTAATTGACGAACGATGAATAAAATAATATGATCCTGTATTAATATTTTTTTATAGATTAATGTTTACTCTGTGGGAATTGCGAATACAGGATGTCCCACAATAAGTGCTGACTGAAATGATGTTTGAAATGTCTTTATAAAAATATAATAAAGACACATTTTCTGTCGCATAAATCATCGGGGTCTGTTGAAGTAGAAGAGACATTTTGATTGTTCCGTTTTCAAGAACATTGGAATGTCAATCCAATTTTACAAATTGAATGCTGTATTTCCATGATGTAGTATTTTATTAAATATCTTATTTAAAAGGATATCTTCATCCTAATATGTAGTATTTTCTTCAAAAATATAAATAAGAGTAGGTGAAATAATAGCATGGAAAACTTTTACGAGAACATCCTTTTACGTTGAATTTATCGTTGTTTGTCTGGCGAGATAGCGACGTGGAAATATAATATTCCATTTAAAATAAGAATTAAATTATCATTTAAAAGGCATTAAAAGCAAGATAGTAATGGTATTTCCTTCACAATACTCACAGACTATAAAGATACGAATTTTAATAAATCTTCACATAAGATATCGATTAAATTATGAATAGGTACAGAAATCGTTATTTTAATCTAGAGAATGAAAATTTCAATTTATTAGTATTTTGTGTGAAACGCATTTTTTGGATAATTGGGCCGTCTTATTGGGATATGCTAGTATTTTTCAGTGTACATCGGAAATATTCGTTCGTATTTGACCCAGCCTTGTTGAATGTAAGTATAACGAGATTCTAAGTGTTCAGATGGATCAGTCGGTGTAAACGAAGAACGCAAGAACTTCGTCGGATCTAGGCTAATATCTCCAACGGAAAATTACTTCGTGGTAGGAAATTTAGCAGAGTTTCTTAAAAAATATTCTCCCCTTATGCAAGACGACATCGAAATATCCAGGTACTAATTCTTTAATTGTACGAAATGTACATATACTTATATACGTACTAATTTCTGCGAATATATACAACATAATTTTTGAAACAATATTTCAAAAAAGAGACGAGGTGATTCGAATTACGCAAAATTGTATTAAATTGTCTATGTGATTTTTTCACTTGTATTGACAAAACTACTAATGTCTAAACCCTTCATTTATTATTCTTGCAGTTTATTCAGTTAACGGCTAATTATTTTAGAAAAAGTAATCTAATCCATATCTATGTCAAAAAGCGAAATACATTCAGAAAATGTCTTAAAGATAAGATTGAATTAACAGATACAGATTATAAGATTTTATATCACGAAAATAAAATTGTTGTTTTAACAATGTGAAACACGTTAATCACGAAAATCTTGGATTCTAAATACACCATTATTAGGAATCTCCATATCCATAATTTCTAAACAGAGTTGCATAATATTATATGTATATCCACGTGTTATTCTCTAGTATGATACAAAAATGTCATTTTATTTAATATTTTTTAATGAAGTTATTGCCAATGGATGAATGAAGGATTTCTGATAACAGTTAGATCTAACACGATATTATGTAGACCATTTCATGCCGTAAAAGCGTATCTTATAAATTTTAAGGCATAAGGAATGAAAGACGCATTGTAAATGTAATTGAAAGTTGTCCAAATAATGTTGTATTTGGTTTCCTTTTCACCGAGAGAACCCATTGAATTCGTTGGTGGAGGTTTCATGAAAATATAATGAAATATAAAGGACTGTTTATATAGCATCAATGATTCTTATTCTCGCCTAACAATAGATGTACGATGAACTCTGACAATGAGCCAGGAATAACAAAAGATTAGCTAACGATTCCAAAGTCCAAAACTATGAACTGACACGACTGGAATTTTTCAATATTTTCGAAGTAAATATTCCTGTACATACATGTGTGTACAGAGTGTTTCACAACATGTTGGGCTTACTATAACGGTGGACATGAAATTGCAAAAATAATGAAAAGAATTTTTATAAACGTGTGTTTTATTTGACCCTGTTTTCAAATTACCTTCCCAAGTTGTATCCTTTTTTGTCAGAAACTCTAAGACACGAAATTGTAGGGCTTGCCTCCTCGCTTTAAAGCTTTAACATTACTAGGACAGAAATGGCTAAAACTCGATAAGAAGGTCAGACAAGGCGTATGTCTGCATAAAGTTCTCTAACTGGTCTTGTGTTCTTCGTGACTCCTAATCCTCTACCTGCTTTTGCATTAGAAAACTTTTTGAACATTTTTCCGAGAAAAAGTCTAGCAAGTCCCTGGGAAACGGTCGAGTCTAATGGGTAAAAGGACTTACCAGACGACCCTTAATGACTTCTCTGATACCAGTCACCAGCTCCCCCACGTATTCCTCTTCTCGTGGCCGACATACCATTTGCAGGTTACCCCCGCTGCCCAAAGGACGGAAACTGATTTTATTGGGCGGTGGCAGTGAGGCCTGCTCTTGGGTATCGGGCAACTGAGTCCCAAGCGGATAATTTCCCGGAATCTGCTCGGACGGTGGACTTTGCAGCGTGTACTTGTTAAATGTTACACTTTTCGAGAGTTTCGAATGCCGCGCTGCGTAGCCCTCGATGGTCGGGGCTCTCATTAATTTTCTAAATTCGGCAGTAGCCGCCTCGCGATCCGGTGTGCTCGTTGCCGAGGTGTCTGAACTACCTGTCCTGCTACCAGCCGAAAGCTTCTTTAAAATGCTCTTCAAATTTCGCCTCTCCAACGTTTCGTTTTCTGGCGAGAGCGGATCCGTCGGCGACGATAACATCCGTCGACTCTGAAACGTGCAAGTATCAGAATGTAACGACAGACGAGATCGATTTATATTCTTCACGTTTTACACTCATACGCAACGATGGACATTGTACCTCACGATAGTGTATTTATTTTCTAGTCCAAACGATCTTACGTTTCCCTTTTAGTACGTTGTCAATTAACACTAGAACTGCCAGCATTGAAGTTACGCTAAAATAAATCGTGTAATGTAATACATCAATGTCTATAGTATGTAGGATGTTAAAAAAGGGGTCCAAGACTTTGGATTATAATAGTGCTTATAGTACTCCCCGAGTGGAGCAAAAATGTATAATTAACATAGATCCTAAAATCAATACTTTTGATTAAAAAAAAAAAGGAATTTATTTTTACATTTGGCGCAGATGTTTGATGTCTTCCCTCCATTTTAAAGCAAACATCATATTTGCGGGTCATAGATCGGCGTACTTTTTCAAATATTCCTTCGGTAGGTATTTCGTATTGTCTGTTGTCGTACAACCTTGAAGCAATGTACCTACTTCTAAGACAATTTATCTATTTACGTTTAATATGTTGCGAAATTACTCATTTACGACATCGAATGCTCGTAAACATAAAAGTTTCACTCGGTGAGTAGGATACTATAAGTCCCTAAAGGCCCATTTACACGTCCATATAATTTGTACAAACTGACTTGTGCATTCGACATTCACTTTACCATGCATAGTTATTTTATATACGGTTATTTTATTTACAAACTCGGCTTCTACTAGGGGAAAAAGTGGCGTAACAGAAAGGCCTCCTACCACTTGGTATTTGGAATTACTGAAATGTATTGCAAATTAACATTCGATTTAACATTTATTTCACTACCTGGAATAAATTTACCAAGTGGTAGGAGACCCTTTCCTTACGTTATTTTTTCCCCTAGTGGAAGCCGAGTTTGCTCGTGAGTGTACACATAAAGAATAAACTATAAGTAGGTACAATGAGTTATAACAAATTAAGTAATAAGAAAAGTAATGGTAATTATTTGCCAGGGACGTTAACTTCAATTTAAACGCAACGATTTGCTTGCGCAAATGTGAGTGCACAAATGAGTTTGAGCAAATTATTTCAACGTAGATATAAACGGGCTTTAAGGTTCTATAGTCTCTTTTGAACACCCTTTACACTAAAGTATAGCATAACGTAGCTAAATGTAAAATATAATATAATAAATTGAAGGTCAACCTGAATATCCACCGAAGCACCTTAATAATTTCCGTAATTGTAAAATAATAAATCTGAATTCTGCCATTTTGACAGGTTTCGAAGTTTTAGTGTTAATACACAATATTTCTTTCATAGTTCCAGTAGGGCAAGAGGCTAAATCTGGATTACGCGTATTTCATGCGGAAACGGCTTGAAGTTCTCAAATTACCGAACTTCTACGTTCAGCGTGAAATATGTAGGTATATCGATGAATTTTAGTGCATCCAGGATGCTTACACGCTGTAAGGGCTGTAACTATACTGGAGTATATCATCGTGGAATATAATGTCGTAAGTGAATTCGATGTATTTTTATATTGTTTACATGTATAGTGAATTATTACGGATAATTTACGAAGTGCTGTGTTTAATAAGCTAGAAAAATAAATTTATATATAAGAAACAAAGTATTTCAGAATGTATGTTGTTTGCAATAATGGAAGATAATTTTCTATATTATCTTTACGGTAGTCAGGCGTATTATCTGATTGGAATTTGAATTATGACTTTCGAAGATAAATATTTGTTTATATAATAATTCATTTGAAAAATGCTTATCTATTATTTTCGTAGAAATTCGTGTGAACTATACGTAAACTGTGTACTTACGTATCTATTTGTCGTTCAAAGATAGAGAATATTGTTTTTAATCTTTTTGTTTCTGTAATAAGTATGTTCTTACTCTATCCTTTGAAGGTTGACTTATCCCTTTAAGATGAGCGTGGACTGATCAAAAATATGCGTTGAATATTGTCCAAGGGTCTACCTTCTTGGCAAATTTCGTTCAAAATTGGTGATTCACATTTTGGGACTATTCCTTGGCAGAAAGAATAAAGCCGCTTATGTTGAGGTTGATGTGAATCGAATTTCGAGACAATCGACAATATAATTGCTAATGTTATAGATAAATAGAAAGAAATTGGCAATAAGCGAACAAGAAATAGCAGACTTACACCATTTTTAAAGTATATGGTTCAATTGTTAAACTGGTTTATATTTCGTTACTAAGGGAAAATATTCCCGAACTAAAAACAAAAAAAAAACATGTCGCGTTACAAGTTTTACAAATAAGGTCTTTACTTTTATAAAGTGTCATTAAATGACAAAAAATATTTCAAATTAAAAACTGTTTATGTCTGTTCAAACTAGAATAAATATTTGATGTTGTGGCTGCCCCTGATAACCAGTTGTGTACAAGTTTCAAGCAAAATGTTAGCAATAAATGATAAAAGTTGTTTAAAAAATCATAGCCACCTGTTTCCGCATTTGACTTGGGTTTTGCAGGCAACGTCAGCTGACAAAATGGTAAAGCACATTGGCAAAAAATCTTGCAACGTGGCCTATGTCAAATTGAGGGCAAAACCGCAACAAGGTTTGCGCAAGCCAATTTGCTGCCTATGTTGCTGCCAATGTGCGTGCAAGCTAATCTTGCATAAAACTTGTAGTCATAATTTTATAACAGGCATTGGACAAAATTTGGTTTCGCAGGTTTGACTGACTGGGTCGTAAACAATATGACATTCCAATAATTCATTCTCTCCAAGCGATGGACAATGTTTTTCTCCTATACAGGTTGTTTTAAAATGTGGCCGTGACTTCAGGATGGAATTGAGGGTATCAAAATAATGAAAAAAGTGCGGTTCAACATTGGTCTCATGTGACTTGTTTTTCGAATTACAAACAGTTTCGAATTTCAGTAATTCCATCTACCTACAAACTGAGTTAACATAACATTTTCATAAAATCATGCGACGCAGTACAGCGTCTAAAATTCTTAAACGTGTCGAAAAGTCATTGAGACGACGTTTAAAAGTTTGTATTGAAGTCTAAGGTCGTTATTTTGAAAACTTTCTTTAAAAACAGACTTGCACACATATATTGTGCAGCAGCTCGGTTTTGTAGTAAATATGATTGAAATACAAAAATTTGTGTAACTCGGGCACAAAATTAAAGAGGACAAATGTTTATAGAAACTTTTTCTATTATTTTTATGCCCACATGTTTTGAAACACCGTATAGGGTAAACTCTGCTTTGTCCCTGGTATCGGATACTACGTGATACTGTTACATTCGTTTCTAACACGAAATTGCCTGGGCCAATCTAGTTCAAACAGAGACTAATGGACAGTGTTAATGTTCTAGTTTCTTACGATAAAAAAATCAGTCAGTTAACGTTTCGATTTTTCTACAATTTTATTCAACTTTTTATGGGACAGCCTAAGAATTTTGTCGTATTTGGCTAGTGCAGGGGTCGGCAAACTTTTGAGACGGAAGAGCCAAACCTGTCCCTTACAACAATTTAAAAATTATTTCAGAGCTCTAAATATATTTTTATAAATAAGGAACATTTAAAGTAACATTATAACAAGTTCTAATATTAATTATATCTTTATTAAATGAAGAAATAGTCTTAGAAAAGTTGCTCTCATTGATTGTATTTTCATTTTTAATTGTACTTAAGAGCCACATGTAAGTAGGTACCCAAAGAGCCGCATTTGGCTCGCGATCCGCAGTTTCCGACCCCTAGGCTAGTGCTACTTTCAGACATAAAGGGAGAAAGCACCTTTTTTATCCGAAGCGCCGCTTTTACTTATTCGCTTGTAACTCGTAAAATATAAAAGACATTTAAAAGATTTTTACCAAGGTAATAAATAGTTTAGATAAATTTTATATTGTTTTTAGTTGTCCATATTTTCAAAAGAATAGTTTTTTTAAAATATTTTTTAAAATATATATTTTTTTAAATTCATTTCCACTAATATATGGACAACTAAAAACTTCATGAAATTCATCTTAATCTTTTATACGATATATTTTGTAGTTTACAGGTTACAAGCGATTAAGTAAAAAGAACGCTTTGGATAGAAAGGGTGGTTTCTCTGTTAAAGTCTAAAAGTAGCACCAACTAAATAAGACAAAATTCTTACGTTGGTCCCATAAACAATTGAACAAAGTTCCAAAAAAATATCGGCGTGTATCACTTCGCGACCATCCCTTGTTAGTAAAATTCTATTAACTTATTATTCGTTTCTAGATGTCCGCATTATAATTATATCCTTGGCTCACTCTCGGAACATGCAAATATCAGTAGTTAATAGAAAAATTCTAAAACCATCACGGACTTATCAGAGTTCACCCCGTATTAAAGAATCCGGTCAAATAGACTCTTAATGGGATTTTCATGATCGTACCAACGCTCGACATGTTCACCATGCATACATTTTACGTACACCCACGAGCAAACTCGGCTTCCACTAGGGGAAAAAGTGACGTAGGAGAAGGATCTTCTACCACTTGGTAAATTTATTTCAAGTACTGAAATAAATGTTAAAATGCATGTTAATTTGGCATAAATTTCAGACACTATCGAATTCAAATGGTAGAAGGCCCTTTCCCTACGCCACTTTTCCCCCCGTGGAAACCGAGCTTGCTCGTGAGGGTACACGTACCTGATTCAGTTTCGCTAGCTTCCTCGTGTACTCGATAGCGCAGGCCTCCGAGTGACTTCTCGTTAAGCTGCCGTCAAACTCAAGCTCGATATTCTCGCCACAATCGAGGCTGGAACTCCGCACCGCTTTCTCCAGTTCCGCTAACTTTTGTCTCTCGTTCAATATCTTGAGCTTCTTGACGAACGGTAAACCACAATATTCCGGCGATAAATCGTCAACCGACGCGTACATCTTGGTCTGTTGTCTGAGATGCACGAGGGTGTGCTTTAGCTGTAATCTGCTTATCTGCGGGCTTCTCTGCGGCGAGATCTCTTTATTCGTTAACGATGCATCTTTAAGCATCGCCCATGGTTTCTTCGCGCTCGATACGTTCTCCGTGCTTGGGGTTACCGGTGGTTTCGTCGTCTGATCAACGGAGCACTGCGTCGACAATTGTTTTTGCGGTTGCTTCGAAGATGGCATAGGGGACTGTTCCCGTTTCTCTTCTGGGATAGCGTTCTTTGGTAGTAATGGCTCTTTCGTGGGCGCTTCTTTATCAGCCTGTGCCTCTTGTTCGTTTTTCGCTTTTAACAATAATATTCGCTGGAGAAACGGTAAATTTGGATTGGTCGGATTCTGAACGTCGGCGGGCGGTAGCTGTTGCTGTTCCGGCGATTGCACCTGAGTCTCCATCAAGGTCCGTCGTTCTTCGCGTTCCTCTTTCTCCTTGAGCAATCTCAACCTCGCGAGCAACGGCAGACCAGCCCCGAGTGGCGACACAGGTGGTTCCTGGACGTTCGAAGCGGACGCCTCTTGACAGTCGTCGATCTTTTGTTGTCTCTTAAGTGTCGGCGCTTTCGGCGCCAACGGCTGCAGCTCGAGGCTCTCCTCCGGTCTAGCGTTTCGTCTGCTTTTCCTCAAGACATTTTTCAGACCCTTCACGTCGCTCTTCAGCTTGTCGACGATTCTCTTACCGGTGCTGTTGTCCGAAGAATCGTGACCCGGCGAGGTGGGATGTCGCGACGCTCTCGCGACCTTTTGCGCCTCCATCAGCCGTTTTCTGCCGAGATTCTGTAATATCTCTTGTGCTTCTGGGTAATCCTTCATTGCTGCAAGCACGTCTTCCCGGGATAGGCTGAACAGCTCGGAGTAACCGACCGACCGAACGTCGGCTGTGCGTCTGCAATAGCAAGATTTTTTTCTTGGCTGTTAATTTGTCCGAGATAGAGAATTTCTTTTCGAAATTATACCGGGAAATTTCAATTATCATGTTAAGTGTTTAATGTTGGTTTTATATTTAATATATGTATATTATACTATGTATACATATCTTACTGTACACAAAACATTTGAAAAATATAGGTTTCCTTTAAAGGGCTGTATGTTTGTTAAAGAATGAGGTTCGTTTTATTTTAAAGACAAACGATCATACTTTCCGGTAGTATATATCAAAATTGCAAAAAAATATGGTTTTCACTCCGTAGCATTTGACGAACATCAAGGAAAAGTACAGTTTGGCACACTCCTATTTAAGGGCGAATTTTACTCTCTAGACAAAGATTTTGATAAATTTGATTTAAAGAACCAATAACTAGAAAGTTCAAACTTTAAAATGGTTTTTGTTTCATCAACTTGGGACGAATAGTAACAATGTTATGAGAGTTTGAGATTGAGAAAATTTTGAATGAAGATTGAGTAAATTTTGAAATAGTTTCGAACAGCTTTTCTGGTCAAACACCCCACTATGCGCTGTGTAACCTGATTCCCCTCTACCTACCTGCCAAGGATAAACATTCGAAATCGTTTTAGTCACTGTGGATGTTAGTTCACGTAAAGCCATGTTTGAGTTCTGTGTTATGATGGAAAATTGAACGTAATTTAGAAGCAAAAGAATTGTGATAATATTTTTGGTGAAACAGTGTTTAAATTCCAAATCTATCACAAAACTAGAAAACCATATTTATTTAAGAAACCAATTTATAAAGGAACGCATTTTCAGTCAGTTTTTGTAATTTAACGTAATATACCGTTCTCAGTTGTGTACGATGGTGAAAATACTTATTACAAAATTGTTGAGTACTCCATTGTAAACCAAAAGGCCTAAATCCGACAAAGAACTATTGTTCTTATTCCCAAAAAAATAATCACATTATTATATACCATTAACCGTTTAAAAATATAAACAATTGAGTTACAAACGATTCAAGTTGTATAAAGTTTCCGAATACATATTAATGTATTCCGATACAATTTGTCAAAATCGTAATGTCTATTAACCCTTTGCGGACTAACGCCGCATAATATGTATGTATTCTGCGTAAACCACCAATCTGGCCGATGAACTCATATGTATACGTTCGGCGAAAACAACTGATAGAGCCGAAAGACTCGTATACGTGTCCCACATAAATACATCGCTGTTGATAGAATTATAAGATAGAAATTGATAGAACTGAAAGATATATACATATACGCGTTTAAGAAATGACAGTGTCAAACGACTATCGCGACAGCCACCCGGCCTTACGGTATGGTTGGCTTCGAACCATCCCGCCCGCAAAGGGTTAAAGCAAGAAACGAGAAATAGTGACAACCTCATATGTACAATAATGGATAATTATTGGGCTGTCCCATAAGTCCTTGCCGTTTTCAACCAGTTTTATTTTTATTTTGCATTTATGAAAACTTAATTTGTATTGTATGATATAATCACCGTTGTCATTATCAATAACATTTAGCAATCTGCTCGACAAGTTTTGAATGCCTTTCTTCCAGAAAGGTTGGGGCTTGGATGCAAAAAAGTCACCAATATACATACTTTTTGAGGGTGGTATAATTGTAAAAATTCTTGCCCAGCAGATGTCGTTTAAGATCTCGGAATAAGTGAAAGTCCGATGGTGCAATGTCCGGGCTGCACGGTAGATGAGGTACAGTAGACCCTTCTAGCTCCTCGAGTTGCTCACGGCTCACGCGTCAACTTTGTGCAGTGAGGTCGAGCGTTATCATGAAGAAGCTAGACGGCGAGTCGTTTCAGCCGTTTTGTTCGCACGGCAACGTCTAGCTCGCGGAACTGGATCCTGTAAAGGTTGGCGTTGATCGTCTGGTTAAACTTCAGGAATTCCCAGAAGAGCATTCCCTGCGAGTTCCGAAGACCGAGAGCATCAACTTCCAACTGGGGCTGGACTGGCGAGACTTCGCCGCGAGAAAGCCAAAAGGCGTGGCGTGTGTCATTTTCGTAATGTACCCAGCTTTCATCCCCAGTGATAATTTCCTTAAGAAAGTCCTGCCGATGCTGGCGGAGCAACAAACTTTGGCAAATGCTGACACGAGCGGCCCGCTTATGATCGGTGAACGCGTGAGGTGTCCATTGCGACATTATTTTGCGGTGGCCCATCGAGTTAAGGTGGTTGTCGATGGTTGTATGGGATTACCGAAGAGCATTCTCCAAATCTTGCGCGCTGGTATCTGAGTGCAGCTCGAGTTCGCCGCGTAGATCGTCTTCGTTGAAGGTAGTTGGCCGGCCAAAACGGGGTTGGTTTTCACACCTTAACCCTCCGAGCACGGAAACATGTTCACCGGTCCCTATGTCATTTCTGACCCCATACCGATATTCTACTACTATACAGCGACGGCGAGGCTCGAGCTCGAGGCCCTCACCGACACTGTACTAACCCAGTGCCAGTATGGCTCGAGCTCGAGCCACCGTCACCATGTATACAATGTAATGAATAGCTGGTTCCACATTACATTTGGATTTTCGTGATTCTTATTACACTAACTAGAATAAAAATCTCGTGAATTATAAAATAAATTATATTTATTAGTCAATACTTCTGTAGCGTCTTGGCCCGGTCGTTCGAATTAAACAAACATCGGTCGCTATGCGATTTACACAACAGCTCCGTCACTGCGTGCGTGTCGCTCTCGAGACCGTGTGTCCCCACTCCTGACTCTGTCACTGTATGCATGTCGCTCTCGCGAACAGGTGACCCAGGGACCGTGCTCGAAGGGTTAATATCGCCCTCATCAACAAGCGCTTATACAAGAAGCGTACCGCCCGATAGCTACTAGTGTACCTGGTCCGAATGTAGCGTTAATCTTTTTAGCCGTCTCCGTCGAAAAGGTGCTAAGCTGGTATTCATACAACATAATAGCTCACAGTTGAGGTTGCTTCATTTTTGTTCTCTATTAATCTCCCTGTTACGCCCGCGCCAATTTATACCCGTTACGCAAAAGGTTCGCGCACATACTCGCACATTCTGGAAACTTCTCGGGCCTGCTTCGATTTAAAGACGAAAACGTTCGAAAACCAAAGAACCTGGCAAGGACTTATGGGACTGCCTAATATTTGAAGTCAGTATAAATAAAGAAATAACTTATTCTCTATATGCGATAAATATAAAAACAGAAGTTCCTTATTTTACATACATATAACTGACGAATTGTCCATTTCATACATACAGACTTTATATTGCAGTTCCGTGTTTCAAATTAACGATAACTACCGCATGTTAGTTGAAAAAGAAAACGTTGCAAAGTTTTATTTTTTTAGATTATTGCATTTTCATCGCGGTGAACGTTACCATTATACGTTTGCATCACTGGAGCTGGAAACCATGTATCAAATGAAACAGTTACGAAACTTGTTCGCAATACGTTCACAAAACTTTCCATCCGATCATTCACCGGAAAACAAAATAATGAGGTGGCATAACAAATTTTTCGAAACTTTTCCCATTTATCACCACCTAGCCGTACATAGTACGTATACATATGTACTCACTTTGCATACTACATATCGTACACGATAGTTCGTACCTAAATTTCATTCTGAATATTTCAGGGTGCAAAGACGTTAGGGTCTAGTGTTAGGCTATAATGCTTATACTGCGAATGCTTTTTATATATTTTTATATGTTTTTATGTATTTTATTTTATTTATTTGTATGTCTATATGTTAACTGAAAATCAATACTTCATTTTGTACAGATAAATTTTATTTAAAACTTTATGAGCGAATACCAAGAGGTTGGGAGGGGGGTATCGATTCAATCATTTTTATGCACGGGTTATTACGTTATTATTCATTGTATACAAATTAATAAGAATATCAACGATTCTGTTATGTAGTTACAAAACTGGTGTATTTAAATTTAAGGGAGGATTGTCCAATGCGTATGTCATCAATAAATAAGAAACAAAAATTCAAGTATAAATAAATAAGAAATTTACTGCAAAATTCAGTTACATCTTGGTAAGATGTTTTATTATTATTATCATTTGACAGCTTTACGTGTTACAAATATTTAAACAATAATACGTGATTGTTGTTAATTTTCAATCAATTTTTGTGATTGACAACAATCTATAAATACTTTTTTATAACATTTACACAATAGATTTTTATACAACAGTTTACTTTCACTATTTCAATGATATGAATTAAATAGTTATCTAATATTAATTCGGTAACTGTTTAATTTTTTAGTTAAAGTGTTCAATGATTTGTGGATCGTAACCTACCTTCAATTTGAACGAGTTATTAATACTGAAGCGAGCCTGAGTTTGAAACTTGGTTCATTATTGCTCAAACAAATCGATTTCATGTGCAAAAAGTTAAATTGTAAGAATACACGGTGTGTAATATTTTATTGATAAAAGAATGTAAATAACAAATTACTTACTTATTTAATCCGTCCAAATTGAGTATACCAATCTCCCCGAAGAAGTCGCCAGCTTTCATAGTAGTCAGAACTCTGCCCGTTTCGCTGATCACCTCCAAGATTCCATCCGCTATTATAAACATTTCCCTGGCTACTTCGCCCTTCCGACATATTGAATCGCCAGGTGTGAATATATAAGCCTTCATTTTTAAGACGAGGTCATGTAGAAACTCGGGTTGACATTCCTGAAAACAGAAAAAATACAGATTTCAAATTAATCTCTTTGGTTTCGATTTTATCTTAAGAAATTCTTCATACGGTTGCGATTTACTTTTTTTCTCCATGTCCTCATTCGACGCGTTGAAACATATTTATGAGCATATGTTTACATAGTATTCCTTATTATTTAAAAAAAAAGTTTATTTATGGATTGCAGTAGTAGAATTCAGTGGGAAATGTGGAAATTGTATATTATGATTGTTAAATAAAAGTCTATAAAACTACTTCTACAAGTCTTATAAAATTGAAAAAGGAATGAAATACATTTCTGTTATTCTCCTTTTTATATGTATAAAAGCTTAGATGGGACAATTAGACTATCCAGGAAGAACAAATCCATGTTGTAATAATGACTGCAGAAAATTTCATATAAAAAATGTTCAAATACTCCATTCCCTAATGAAGGTAATTAATTCGTTCAATGAATTAAAAAAATAAATGTACGCAATAGTTGTTTCAGATTTATAAAATTTAATAAATGTTTCAAGGAGACTTCTAGTTAGTATACAAAATGAGTTATAATTCTGCATTAACTATTATAACCCAAACTGAAAAATAACTCTCATGAATACATTTATTTCTCATTTCAACTATTTCCCTCCATTGATGTGAATATTACCAACGTGATAGAATTTTTTTTTTTGACACTTAGTCGTGGAATGGCAGACAGGCTAACAATACATTTTTTATTCATTTCCTGTGGAAAATGCGCCTATAGCTGTAACTTTTTCGCTCCGTCATCACATATGTCTCTGAATTTTGTAAAACTCTTTTCAGTCCGGAAAAGTCAAACGCTTCTACCTGGCATGTGCACTAGGGTGGAGAAAACTATATCGGCAGAATTTTTTTCTATTATTCATGACATTTGACAGTGGACGAAAGTTGTCTTTTGCAGTAGTAGGTATTTCAGCTGTCAAAATCTGAACTTGGTGAACAAATTTTGTAAAGTGCCGTAAGCCAAATAAAAATCACAATTTTTACTGCTTTTATAAATTTGTAGTGATTTTTTCAGTAATTTATTTTTTGATTTCACCATAATTTTGAACGAACCAGATTTGGGTGTAGACAAATGGAAACTATCATTCCACACTATTTCTTTATTTCCTCATTTATACATATTGTGAACAACATTATCGTACGTATTTTTGACCAAAAATTTAAATTTTCTCCGTAGTTTAATTTAATTTTAAAAGGAATCAATTTTCAACCTTAATACTACAAAAAAATCAACAGATGCAAAATTTTGAAATGCATGTTCAAAAAACAAAAGACTGAAATTTGAAAGTTCATGCGGCATCTCAACAATTTTTTTACAGAAACTAGCTTTTGCAGACTTAATCGGGAAAATCAAAGCAATATTTGTACAATATTTTGAGTATTAGAGAAGGAAAAATTTTTATTTTTTCGTTCTACCCAAATGTATAGGTCGTCTTGCTATTGAAAGCATTTCACGAGCAACAAATTAATGGGGGTTTTCAAAATTGGGTTCCATTTATTTTATGCACAATGTGCGCTTTTGGTTTTGAAACGCGCTAAATATATAAACAGTTAAACATATAGTCTGTTTTATTTTAAATATAGTTTAGTTTTTTTAGCTTTTTAAGCAAATCATTGTATTATTGCGAACAATGTAAATAATACACAAGAGAATGCCTATAAATAATAGGAATCATTTAAACAATTAAAATGTTATTATTAAAATAAATATTACTACTTATGTATTCACCAATTTCGTTAAAACTGCAAATAATACATTATAATAGAAACCACAAACAGTAAAAATAATAAATAAGAAAAATAACAAATAATATAACAATTTTTTTGAAAATAAATATTAATGTGAAATTTCTTTTAAATAATGTCCAACACTCGTTTAACCCCAGGAACCACTTTAAAGTCTCCGAAGTCGTCCAACGAGTCCCTCAGTAGTTCTCTACCTCACGGTTCGCTACTTCAACATTTTCCTCTTTCGGGACACAAATATTTACATAATATTGAGGAAGATCTTCAAATGTATTAAAAGTAATACATCAAAGTTTGAACATTATTCTCTTTCACCTCGTACAGGTATGCCTCATGAATACAAGATATCAGTAATTAATACTAGAAACTAGAACTACCGATAATAAACGTACATCTCTGTCTATCGGATCGGTAAACATGACAAACTTTTGAAAATATACAGATTTATAAATTAACTAATTTCTTCACTTTCGTATTGCAATAAAAGTTGTGAAAGATCTGAGAAAATGCATTGTTGTAACACTTCGATACATTATTATAAGAACTAATCATGCTGACTGCTTTGGTAGATCTAGTGTTAACTTCCGCGCAACCTAATAATGCGTATCTTCTTTATTGCTGCGAAGAAACATTTACTTTACTCGAATGACGATAGATTCCACGTAATACATAGAGTGAATTCAAGTATATTAACCGGTGTCATCGCGTACGCAAAGTGACTGAAATTAGTAACCCTCTTATTGATTCCTTCACGCCGACCTTGTGGCTTCTATCCTCGTGAGCAATATTGAGAGGGAGGATGCATCCAGTGCATATCAACAGATGCCTCTCATCGTCAAAGGTATACAAAGGCATACGCAACCACATTTGCTATTAATATAAATAAATAGTTGAAAGCAGGACATCCTGTTGAGGAGTAATTATTTTATTTATGTATGTTTTTATGACTATGTATTTTATTTTATTTTGTTAAGAAGTGTGTCTAGTAAGTTTTTGTCTTATGTACAACCGTTGAAATTACTCGGGACTGTAGCAGTAGGTTCTCTTTTGTCCAAGTGTGTACTGCGCCATGCGGTGCGTCCAGTTGTACCTTGTATTATTAGAACTGTAGTCAGTGCAATGTTCTCTATATGTATAGTGTTTATTATTGTTCAAATATATACACTATTTTACTAATATTGGAACTGATAATGTTGGATATTTTCTTCTGGAATAAATATAACAAAACAACACATCCGTTTTTCGTTTCTTTCAAACTTTCAAGCATACTTGTGTTTGGTATTTTCCCTCTGCCAGCCATTACCTACTTGAACGATTATACTCGTAATGTTGATTAAATATTTTTCACCCCTCTCGGTACTATAAACTCCTAACATCTTAGACCTTTTTAAATTTGTAGTAAATGAATCTTTTTATTAGACTGTGAGGGTTTACTGAAATTCAAATATTTATGTAGTTATTTATAGAAAACAAAATTAAATAGACTGAACTGTCCAGTGAATGAACATCCCCCAATGAATAAACATTATATTGAAAAACGAGTAAATGTCGTTATTAAAATAAACACATGATTAAATATTGATTTTATTCAATCTGTATTTTGTCTTTTTAATCGAATTAAATACATTTTTCCAATTTTTCAAACTGAATCCTAATTATCATGTTCCAAATGTTTATTAATATTGTTATCATATAAAATTTGACTTTAATAATTACAAAATCTCTTAAGTGTTCATTCATTGGTGCGTGTACACCCTAGACTCTAGAATTATATTTATCATATTAAAGATTCTATTAGGTTGCAAATAATATGAAAACTTCATTACAACGTATTCAACCCTTTAATCCACTGATTACCAAAACAATCCTGGATGCGATAAATACATAAAATTCGCTGTTTACTTCTTATTATTTACGTCACAAATTTTTGGCAACGTTCAATAATTTGTACAATCGTAAATTCTCGTTCTCTGTGTAAATAAATAAAATTTTCCGAAGACATGTAATTTATCTCTACCCAATTTCTTTTAGTAATTGCCATTCGCGCCAGTTTTCGTGCCTGGAATGATAATAAATCTTAGGGCGCGTTTTAAAATGAATTTCTTCTTTTCTTTCGATGCCTTTCGTTTCTCGCTTCTGCTGATAACGGCGCGGGATCGCCGTCTGGATAATGGAAATTCTTCGGATATTATTTTCACGATGATATCTGATATTCTCTTTCCTCCGGGCGAAAGATCCTCTCTCCAATCTTCCGTTCGAGATTCTTTTCGTGTCATCCGCGGTTGCCCCGACCGCGGCGGTCGTCTCCTGCCTACCAGGGGGCACGCTTTCTCACGCTCGTAATAAACGGGGCACGAGTTTTGCAGCGGACGTACCTACTCGAACATCTGAAAAAAATTGTGGTCCACGACGATCTTCGAACATCAGTTATCCTCGATGTCAGCTGTTCTCTGAATTGAACGAGGACCAATCTTATATCGTTTTTCTTACACGTTCAACTTCGTTGAAACGTGTCGAGTGCTTCTAGTGCTCTTGGACTCATTCAGTGACTAGTGAACACATTATCAACCGGATGCTATTTAACAAGTTTACTAGATCCAACTATCAACAGCCAAAGAACTATTATGAAATATTTCAATCACAGTAACAAATTACATTCATAAAAAATAGCAAGAATTCTAATAAAATAGGGTATCAATTTCTTTTTAACCCTGATCTAAGGGAAAATTAACATGCTTTTTATCTATAAGCACTGAAATTCAAAAGGCTACTAATAGGTCAGTAAAGTGTTAAAATGGACAACAAACAGAGTTGGATTTATATCATTTCAAGTAATAATTAAATATCTTTAGGTAAATAATTTTAAGAAAACGAAGAAAATAGATATTTGTTGTTTAACCCAATCTAAATAATTTATTTATAACAATACAGTTACTTACACATGTAGCTCTAATTATTACTTGCCACTTCTTATGCACTACTTGTAAAATAACAAGTTTTTTAATAAATAGAGTGAATAATGATACATTAAAAATACTGAAGAGTAATAATTAAAGAATAAATTTATTATTATTCATTTAATATGGAACTTAATATACAACCTATAGGAATAAACAAATCTGTACTTCGTTTCAGTTCCTGTGAATTAATCTAGCGACCAATTTTGCATAATTAGTCTGGTAACCGTATTTAACCTTTATTCTGTTCAAATGACAATATCTCT